TATAAAGGCGCCATCTGAAAAAGAATTTGCATATGTGAATAGGAAACATTTCCATTCAATAAATGTGCAGATAATATGTGATGCACAAATGCGCCTAACAAATATTGTGGCAAGGTGGCCTGGGTCAACCCATGATTCATACATACTTACAAACAGCATGGTTGGGATGAGACTCCAAGCTAGCAGGGTTCGCGATGGGTGGCTTCTTGGTGAGTGATGCATTTAAAGTTATATGGTCCTTTCTAAAAGTTGTTGTTGGTTGTTTTGTTTTTTGTTGCGTTTAATTATTCAACTGCCCATTAGGAGACCGCGGTTATCCACTAAAGACGTGGCTGTTAACCCCCCTCACCAACCCACAAACTGACTGAGAGCGCAGATACAATGATGCACATTCTCACACTCGGTCAGTGGTAGAGCGGGCGATTGGGCAGCTGAAATGTCGCTGGCACTGCCTTGACAGGACCGGGGGGATGCTGTTATACCGCCCTGACAAGGTGTGCCGCATTGTGCTGGCCTGTGGTGTGCTGCACAATGTCGCTCACAGGCACGGCATACCACTTGGTGAGGTGGTGGCACCGCCAGATGACCCCGACCCAGGACCAGTGTATGTGCAGCCCAACCAACAAGCCATTCAGGCCCGTCAACATGTGATTGCGACAATATAAATGGTAATCAGAGACCAAGTTCATTTTTTGACCAATTCCTTTAATGAGTGACTTATGTCTGTGAGTGCGTCAGTGATATTTTTCAGGTGACTGTTAATTTCTCCGATGGCCCTAACGATTTGCTGTTGTGACTCCAGAACAGCATGCGTCAAGACACGGCCAGATGGACGGGCCTCAGCACTGGGGGGAACACTGAAAACGCTGGAGACGCTGGACATACTGGGCCCTGGCTGCTCAGGAGGGGCAGACTCCGAGTGGGTGCCAGTGGACGTTCCTGCTGTTGCACCATATAAGTCCAAATAAACACAGGCACATGTTAACTGTGATTTGAGTCTGTTCCTTATTAATGGGTATACGCATTTGCTATAAATGCCATGGATATGTAAAATCTCTGGTGTATGCTACTTTTGGTAAGCTATATTGCATGCATTTGAAAATTAAATGCGGTCTGGTAAGCTATGTGTACCAAAGTTAAGCAAATAAATGAGAAATTAGTTACCTTCGTGGCAGTCCTGTAAATCCGAGTCTCCCACCGCAACGGATACTACTCCGGAGAGTA